TTAGATTTAATAACGTCATCTGCAAGCATAGGGAGTGAGTCACAGTTTGATCTCCTTTCGGACCTCTCCCAGAGGTTGCCTTCGATATCATAATTACTTGGAAGAATCCCAGAAAACCAAAACACCAATTTTATGGACGTCTAACTGTGTAAATCACATCACCTTCAGCATAATCAATCGGATCTTATCCATAGAAAGAAATTATCTCGAGTCTGCATATGTATACGAGACATATGGACGACACTTACTATTTGTCATGACAACGGTTCAGATGCTAAACTCTCCAGAAAATTTAATCGTTGTCAGCCGTCTATACTTCTTTCTGAAAACTGATGTCAGCTCATGATGAAATCCTCAAACCAATCAAACAAAATCCCTACAAAACCAATACTTGAAAGCCTATACTTCTCACATTAGAAGAAAAGTCGAATTCCACATTTCACTTCTTAGATGTTACGCTAGAAGAAGAGAGTGGCATATTACAAAAAGTCGATCTGTTGACAGTATGACCTTTACAGGAAACTACACTAATGACAACACTTGGATACCTCTAGGTAGAAAGAGACATCTTATTCATTCTCTAAGCTCTAGAATTCGGGAGATTCGCTCCCTAGATACGGTCGATAAAGAACTGGAAAACATTCGCACAACACTGTTAAGTAATGGATATCCAAGAAGGTCTACTGGAGAAAGAAACATGAGGAAAGAAACCACTCCTTGTCAAATCACAATGTGGAACACCTTCTGTCATCAGGTGATTCACACCCACGAGATTTATTCTTTAAGGTTATCTACACAGCCAAATCCAGTCACTCTAAAAGTTGACGTTTTTTATTTATTTATTTTTTATTTTGATTTACAGCTTGATTCCACACCGTATTTTTAGTACAAGTATGGAATTTTCAGCATGGATATCGGTAGCCCAAATTCAGGCCGACCATAGATATCGGGTGTGCGCCGGCAGGGGATCGAACCCCGGAGCATGTGCATGGTCGGCGAGAGTCCTAACCACTGTGCCACCGACACTTATGTACAGCTGAAGCTCTAACTTTACATGAACAGAAACCTAAACTATGTATTCAGAATCATTTTGTTCAGCCCCTTTCTTTACCTTCATCGTAGTAGTGTTCTTTTCATTTCATTTATTCTCTTTTACCACTTGAATTCATTCCACTTCACTTCATCTTCGCCGTCTTTATTGTCATCATAATCATCACACTTTTGATTCAATTTTTTTGTTGTTGACATTTTGCCTTTGCCTACTTTTGATATCTGAATACCAATTCACTTATTTGATAATCTCTGAAAATCTTCCAATTCATCCACTTCAACTCTAAATCCCTTAAATAACAGGTTAATTGTCTTTATTCTTATCATCATATGTATATACCGTAATAGAAATACTACTGTACAGATTGAAAATGAAGTCATCAAAAAGAAAGATTTCTTCGTTGAACAAAAACTGTGTTTTTCCTTATAAGATAAATGGGTACATTTCGTGTGATTTTAGACAATGGTTGTATGAATCCAATGAGTCGCTTATATAAAACTCTGTGAACGAACTCGATACAAATGAATAAGTCACAAATAAGTACTACAGTGTTTGCACCTCAGAGCTGTAATCTTTTTGCTGTGATAATGTACTCTTCCCAAATTCCGAACTTTGCCTTAGTCCTCCAGTGCTCCAGGGTATATCAACGGTAGTCATTTACTCAGTATGGGATCTCCTCTTTTTTTTAATATGAAGACAAAGGCTGTTATTCAAGTTCTAAGCGCCCTTGCATATTTTCATATCGAAAGCGGAAATCATTCGTGGAGGTGGACAGGGTCGTGGATCACGTGACAAATGTATACCTAAATTACCTGGGTCGACTGATGACAAACTGACGCTGATATATTTACTTGATTTTTGCTGTTGTTAAGGCTGTTCTCTGAAATCAAATACACTATTGTATAAGTAAGACACATCACAAGTGCACTTTCCCCTAAATAGATCACGTGTGGTAATTAGTGTATACATTGGGTTTGTCACTCACTAGTGTGGCATCGGGAATTCAGCTTCACGCTTTCCCTTGAACCTATCAATGGAAACAATAAACGAAAATACATGAGGAATCATTGATGCGTCAAAGTATATTGCTGTTCTACCGAACACAAATAACAAGGGTGACACGGTACAACTGTCGAAATAATGGGACGTAGTTCCAAATAAAACGAAGGCTATAATTACAGCACCGCAAAGTCTCATCAGTCACGCTGATCATTTACCTCGACTTCTAGAAAACCTACGCAGTATATTCTAATCTTTCTCTCTCTCTCTCCCTATTACACTACTCAGTGGACAGTCACAAAGTGATGCATTTCCGCATATTTATAGCACTGAAGTAAATACACACGTGTGAAACTGTCTCCAATTCCAGACCGGTGCATACCAGTTTGAACTAATCTTGTCACAGTCCATACTGGAACAAAAAGTATTCTCAAGAACTTCTAAAGTCTTGAAGACAAATAAATGTGTAAGCCTATAGTTTTAAGGTAGATGATCAGTCTAGAAAACTTATAAGATTCACTGAAGGGAAACTTTCCTTCTCGATGATATTAGATTAAAGCTTTTCTAGTTTGCTAATTCAACACACGGAACAATATTCATATAGTGAGTATCTATCTATGAAGCCAACATCTAGAAAAGATATATGATCTTGCATCAATCGTTTGTATTTGGAAGGTAATATTACTGCGACATCTAATAAGTAAGTAAGGTATCATACGATAACTTGAAGTTGCAATTAATGTAATTAATTCCGTAGGAGGAAGCGAAAGGATAAATGTAGAAGAATCAAGTATGCTGAAATATAATCAGGTAGAAAATCAGTGTACCTTCTCGGTATAAACAGCTTTACATCGACCTATTAGTTTTGATTGACATCACGTAGAGTAACTAATTCTACTCATGCATAAACGTTTAGGTGTATCTTAGCAGACTGTCTAAGCATCTCTCTTCACTTTTCTCTATGTTTTCGCAGAAGATGAACATATCATCTGTGTCAATAGTTAACGTTTTGATAAACTGGTAAGGCAGGTTGTCTTTGATTCACAAATTGGAAATAATCCTACAACCCTGATGTACGCACGAAGGCTACCACCACCATACATACCATAGACAGCGCATAACAAAGGAAATCTAAAAAATCTACCTGATTTATCAAAGATACATAAGATGGGATTAACAGTTTCAGTGTTTTGGAGGTATTTTCTTTCTAGTTCCTTCATCAGTGAAACATGTTTCTTCCTGTCTGCTATATGTGTTAAATAAGTGTAGGCATAGAACTCCCTACACCTGGTACAACATAATTCTAAAATGAAATTACTTAATCTTACATGATTTCCAGTGATAAAATGTGATAAAATCCTGACCAGTGAACAAGTAGACGAATAAATAATAGCCTATCACTGTGTACTACATCAAACAAAATTACTTCATTGGGTGAAAATTTAGTCAACTGACAAAACTTCATATCGGTTCATTTAACCTAAGCCCATCCATCTCACAGGACAATACACCAAATAGCCTTCACAACAATACCGCTATCGGGTTTGTTGAGGAACTCCTACAACATTTACAAGCCCGTGGACGAAATAACGAACAGAATTTTGTTTTATACTTTACAAATCCACTAAACATTCGATAATGACAATTATCTGAATATTAATATTCTACAACATGAATATTAAAATATACACCTAACGCAATCATCGAGTGAGAAATAAGAAACGTCAAAACAATCAGCATTCTTGGTATAATATTCATATCAGGTCAAATAGTCTGTGATTACAGTCAGATGTAGATGGTGTTTTATCAGCAAACTCCCAGTATTACTAAACAGGTTGATATTAGGTGGTTGCAGGCCATAGGCAGAAAGCCCTAGACCTCGGTTTTGTACTTGTTGGCACTCGTCAGTGAGGCGTACTTGCGACCTTGAAGGAACTCATACCCCCCTTCAGACTCGAACGCGTATCGCCCAGTGCTGCAGTCAGAGACGCAACCATTGAGGCATTCGGGCTCACGACTCACCCCATGTAGGACTGTATCGAATAACTTGATTGGACACTAGTTAGTAACTGGTGTAGTGTGTCTAGTCCTTTCTTTGGTGCAGACTGAATCCTAATTTCAACAATCCACAGCGCATCGCGATGGCGAACCACCTAGCATGATGGAATTCAGTCTGCACCAAAGAAAGGACTGGACACATTACACTAGTTACTAACTAGTTTACAATCGAATTACTGAGTAGGATTGTGAACCTTACCTCACCGAAGTGATTACAACATGCTACACACATACACACACACACACACGCATGACCATTCAGTACATAATCGTAGACCTAAAGGTAACCTCAATTAGGGAAGCGGCATAACGCCATAAGCATCTTAACATAACACTAACCTGTGAAGCTTTTGATCACGGTAATTACTTAGCAATAACTTATTTCCAAACAACCGAAAACATCAAGCGATTCAACATGAAATCAAACATACATGCAGGTATTAATTGTCGGACCTCGTGGACACCTTGATACATTCCGTACCCTATATTGATTTTCGCCCTTTCATCCACCTTTAATTATTTATAACTGAAGAGTGTTTCTTTGAACATCTTATGATTCATAACCCTTAGAGTCATTCTGTATCCATTGGAAGGATAAACAAATTTGCATTCCACTAGAAAATATCCTCCCAATGTAGTATCAGGCACTTCAGTTAAAGAAGAGAAACTTGAGATAACGACATAACACAATGTCTGTATGCTATGCTATGCCAATGAAACACATTCCCTATGTGGTGACTTAGGATACACACACACACACACACACACGGACGAACAAACGGACAACCCGGCCGCTCAAACCAGCGTGAATAAAGTAAAACTCCAGCTTCTGAGTTTATGATAATCTAAGTGACTAGGTTAACAGACAACGAAACAACTGAAAACATCAACGCTTTAATTTGCTAACAATTCTATACAACAGAAATGACACACAACAAATTCAAAAAGTAAATTTATGTCATCACAATATTATCAAAATATCCCACTTTCTCTGAATGCTTTACGCAGAAATGTTACACGGTATTGAAATTGGAGCCTGCAACCATGCGGATAAGACTCACTTTTCTTTATTATCCCATCCATAGACGCTGTTTTTTGGGGAGTATCCATTGCATACTATAATAACAGGGAACTGATAGAAATGTTTTACCATGTCATGTCGTGTCCCGATTATTTTAACGTACACCACAATGCATATGTGATAGAAAGCTCGCGAAAGATATTTGTAATTTCAAGCTATAACTGAAAATAACACAAACAATGGAGCAATTTAGTAAACTGATAACCACAAGCATACGCTGCATATAAATTTAACTCAAATGAAAAAATAAATTCTGAACAGAATATGGAGTACGAATCTACTTACCCGAGATTGGAAATCGTCAGTTAGCTAACATCGAATCAACAGTTCTAATACATCAGTCATTATTGATATAAGTATAATGGAGTTACGTCAGTCATTAGTAGATTTCAGAAGTTGAAGGTCAGAGACAAGAGAAGATTTGAAACTTATCGCCCAATTTATTGTAAGCAGTACGACGAGACCTCTAAGTATATGGGTTCGTCAGTTTGTTTTCGTGTTATTCGAGCGGCTGGTTCTCTCATAACACTAGGCACATAATGGCCGACGCTCATTGATGTTGTTGAGTGTGCAACAAATATATCCACAACCGGACGGTTTGTACATTCGAAGTTGTAATATACACCAGCTATTCCAGCCCACTTTTCCCTGTCTAATGAAAGATATTTTGAATTTAGAAAACCATCAATCAGAGATGACTTGACTACTTCGGGAACAGAGATTGACGAACCGCTGAATCGTTCGGCACAACGCTGAGCGAGCTGGGTCTTTACTAACTGTTCACCTGTACCAGAAGTGACGGTACCGATTCGCGAATACAAACTGAGTTCCTCTGCCCAGCAACCACAACCGTATGTACATGCTTGTCCAATACGACCCTCGTATTTTATTGCAATGCCACCGCTTGACGCCGCAGAGGCAATGTTACCTTCCAAGTCCACGCATACAGCGCCGACGGTGTCAAAACTGGATTTCTTTTCTTCACTGGAATAACTACACCCAGGCATACAATCGGTAATACTCGCATTCCCATTCGTTTTGTCATCATCATGTAACCAACTTCTGTATTTTTCCCACGATAATTGTGAAGCTCTAGTGGTAAGATCACATGTATCAATAAAATGTCCTTTTGTAGCTGCCCAGGCACGAACCCCATCACCAACAAGTAAACATGGCTGGACACGTCCACATTCACCCAAAGGCTGGTCAATCTGCGTCTGTAGGAGAAGTCTTGCCAGTTTTACAGGATTTCTCACATTTCGGACGGCTCCGACCCCAGCAAACTGATGGGTAGAACTAGTCATTATGCCTGCATCACACTCGACAAACCCATTTATAGTTAAATTACTTCCAAGCCCCGCATTGGTTAATGAACAGTCTTCTAAATAGGCAACGGCAGTCTCTACAGCATCCACAGCGTTCTTATTTTCAAAACACATCAGATCAGAGGCATGTAAACAGGCTTCATAACATAATTCGTTATATTTCTCTTCGTTAAATTTTGAGTGGTTCCCTGCACCCGCATGCACAAGAACACAAGCCATGATATAGCACTACGAAATTACTCTGCTGAAGCTTCTAAAATGAAACAAAAATAGTAGTAGATAGTAAGAAAGGATGTAGAACAATCGTGTAAATATGCATACAATCGAAAATAGATTAAGTGAGAAGTAATTTCGCCGCCAACTACTCAGCATCATCACTCTGAATCACTGATATTTAAACTGAATTAAATTCTTCAGATAAATTTTATTTCAATTCACACCTTAGGTGCATAAGCAATTTCAAAACAGATGGATTTCGAAACCCTTGTAAAAAGTGCTCATGACCATATTCAGTTATCGGGAAAAAGGGAATACATCGCCAGAACAACCAAAACATACCATTCATAGCATCGCCCAAGTAATGACACCTCAAAAAGCTGATTCTAAACTACATCGACAATAAAGAAAATCATTCTTACCCATTTGGTTTGTGAGAGACATTTCACAGTCAACCTCCTTTAATCACATCAAAACCAACACCATCGTCTCTCGCTTAAATTTGAGAGGGAAAAGAACAAGAGGTTCAGCGAAAATATCTTTCAGATATGAGGTTGGTATTCCGATGATCAGATTCTTGTCATTTATATATTTGCAAAGGAAACAAATTGTGTCTGTGAGAGGCACATTCGTAAATAGAGATTCTACGTCCAGTGATAACATTCGTTTGCCATTTACATTCAAGTCTTTTATGCATTCAATAAACTCAAAAGTATCTCGGAGAGAGTACTTACAGAGTTGTTATCTCACAGTCTCTAGCATTTCGGACAGCCATTTGGCAATCGGATCGTATGGTGATCCCACCATGTCTAAAATTGGTTGAAGTGGCACACCTGCTTTGTGCACCTTTGGTAGACCGTAGAGTAGAGGGATAATTGATCCTGTTGGTCTCAGGCGTTCAACTAGGTTGTCAGTCATGAGGCAGTCGCTCTGCATTCTCCTAAGGACATCTGTCAGTTGCTGTTTCATCAGTTCTGTCTTAGTTTTCTCATTGTCTGGTTTTGAAAATTTACTATCAGCAGAGCCATGGACTCGTTACCGCAAAAATCTAAACAGTATTACAAACCAATACCTTCGCATACACCAACTCACGTATTATTACAAAATACTCAGGTATCAGGCATATGTGTTACAGAGCAGTTCTTTTCGTTAGACTCTACGCTTGAGATATGGCTACTGAAAGAACGTAGATGAAAATTTCAGGTTTCTCACCACATGTTTCTCCGCTTCATTGGTCGCTCTAGGCGAAGCGACATGGTGGGTAGTGTTGCAGTAAAACATAAATTCTTAGGTGAGAGGAGTTCGATCGGTGAGGTGATGAATGTATACTCATCAACGTGTCTGGGACATTTGATACACTTATCGAGTCATTGACGTCTTCATTAAGAAATGCCAGCTGAAGTGCGATTCGGCTGGAAAAATCGTGGGGTCGTGAGGTTGAAAGTGATGCCAATCCATTCAGCCCTAGAGCCTGAGATATTGAGTGTTGCTCAGCTAGAGCCTTCAGGCTGCAGACTTATGATGAATTGCCTTCTTATGACTTTAGAAATTCTGAATACTTTCGTGATCTCATTTTAATAATGATCTCTTGCACATATAATGTAATCCAACTTCTGTCCCCTTTCCCTGTTTTCGGAAGTGAAACAATCTAAAGAATTTATTAAAGCATCTACAGTTTTACCATATAAGGAGGGGATATCTGAAATCCTACGTAGGATTCTTAATAAAGCAGGAATTAGGGTGGCATTTAAACCCACAAACTCACTCAGGGACAAGCTCGGTGGGTTAAAGGACCCTGTTGACCCAATTAGATAGAATAATGTAATTTACAAAATACCTTGAACTACATAAGTCAAACTAGTAGATCGAGGGTAGTCAGGTTGTCAGAACATAAGAATTCAGCTAAGGTTAGAACAATTGATCCCGCGAAGACAAGTAATCTAGAAAAAGGCTCAGCAATTGCACTGCATGCACTAACACACAACCCCACAATAGGTTGGCAGAGGGTTAAAATTCCAAAAAGTAATACAAATAGGTGGCGAGAGAGGTTGATTACTGAATCTTTGTTCATAGAATCCACACCCAACACGTGCAATAGGAATGACTCATTATTCATAACAGAAATATGGAAAATATTACTACCAGTCAAATCAAGAGATGAGAAATGGTGGAACCGTATGAATGAAGTTGGAAAGTTGTGTCAGTAACTTGATATGATTATGAGCAATAAATTGTGCTCGAAACGTTGTCATCATTAAACATTCCTGTATAACACTGTGACACTTTATTAAAATAAATTCCATCCTAAGTGGAATTATACGCCACCACAGTGCACAAGTTCTATTCTTTTATCCTCACCAAAGGGAAAGACGCAGTATTTGACAAGACCACAATAGTCAAGAGTTACATGCCATTTTTTTCGAGACATAATCGGCTTCAACAGTTGTCACACAAATCATGATTCATGAGCAATATTTCTTTGGACAACGCTCCAGGTAGGAAGATCGGAGTGACAATAGAAGCCACTGCACAGTTTCACTACCATAAAATGGAGGTCTTGTTCATTACATTATCAGAACCTTGTAGTCGAATACAATGTCTCTCCTGAAGTGGAGTTTGCGGAAAACTGGTTTAACAATGCAGTGGTTCCAGATTTAATGTGACTTAGTGTTGTGAAATTGGAGAACACCAAGCTAATATTAGACATCATCACAGTATACAGTGGTGAGAAGGATTTCATTTTGGGGCAGATACATACAGTTCAAGTGTCGGGTTTGTTCGACCCAGATTTGCCCAGCCAGCATTGACTTTAGGTGCACTTTGGGTAGACTTCGGGTGCAATTCAACCGTCCTAGTTTCTGCAATGAGCCCGGAGATTTTGCCCTGAAATGTCTACAGTGGGCCTAAAGAAAATGTTAGCTGGACAACTTTTCAGCTGCAGATGGCTTGCACCACTTAACCATTGCTTTTGTCCATCAAATGAATGCACCCAAAATTTTAATTACAGACTTAAAGAATCGCAAAGTTAAACTATCATAGCCAGAACCACAGTGGCCTTGGACAACCAATCGGAATTCAGGTGCAAAAAGCCGCACAATCGTTGGAAAATACACTAAAAAATACTGCATTTTTGATACTACACTGTATAGTTGCAGCTTACATGTTGCAAGAATGTCTCTCAGTTACCATACAGATGGTCATTGAGATATCATACCATGCCCAATAAATGCATTCATCCAGGTGACTGTAGGTCGTGGTACTTTGAGATCCATTGACACTTCTAACACTGTTCTCCAACCTACCCTTACCTCCAACTATAATCCTAACTTTAACCCTAAACCTAGGTTCATGTTAGCTAACATTAACTCTAGACCCTAAACCTTAATCTTATAAGCCACAACCCTACCTAACAGTATAGATTTGCAGAACATTGAATAAGTAGAATACAGTATCTATCCTCTCAAAGTCCAAAAAGGTAGACATGGTTTGATTTGGAATGACATTACATAACATGGGATATCCCATGTGTCTGATCGGTTCTTGATGGTCAACCTTTGAAAGACCTTGACTTTCGCTGTTCTACTTCAATTCGGTAAAAGAAACAAACAAAAATTCTACCGTTTCTACACTAGCCCAGTATCTATCAATTGACGTAGCATTCAAAAACAGGACGAACAGAATCCTACCTGAAGTCCGCGCACTCAAAATTGAAAGTGTTCGACCACGCACCTCCAGTCAACTTAAACAACCGACTTCTACACCCAACAAGGAAGAATGGTGAAGCTAAAAAGTAATAATTTTGGCGATTAATTCACTCCGGCTACAGTTGGCGAGGTGGGTCCTCGAAATAGAAGTGTTTTTGTTCATACCTCTTGTTCTGCTGCAGTATTTGTTACCTTCCCAAGCTTATTATAATGCTGAACTAAATCTCACTAATTCTGAAATAATTCTAACATTCTATAGTGAGTAATTTCTGAATCTGTTCTGAAATGGATTCTTTAATGGCACAGACTAGAACTCAGTGCATGTTTACAGCATGACTGGCACTATTGAAGCTATTTGCAGACATTTTTGGTATACTGAGAGCAACCAACTTTCAATCACATAGTCAAGCTGTTGTGTAATCAACTTGTTTTATTGGTTTATACTTGGCTGATCAGCTAACCTCCGACTTAGCGCCAGTCTTTTAAAATCACTTGCGTTGAAATCAAGTTGGTCGTCGCATGTGTTAAATAGTGTTCTGAGATCCGGAGAGTAGTCTTCTAGCCACAGCTAGTTTCCCCGGTACTATTTTTGGAAACGCTTATATTATCTTCCAATTTCAAATGACCTGCTCTCACGCGAAGCCTGCTAGACAAACCGGTAGCCAATATTTTAGGTGTAACCGATAGCAGACAAATACCACTGTGGTCGTCGCATATATTACATCGGGTATTTCGGAAGGTGGTATCGATGACGACTTCAGTCAACACCGACGGAATTTTCTTACATTTCTGCAGGTTCCTTGACAGTCCAGTGAATGCACTTCAGTGAAAGATGCCACGATTTTCGAAAACATCCCGGGTTAGGTTGTCTAGGCCGAACGCCTAAGAGATTCTCAGCACGTGGAATTCCGTTCGGAAATACACTGTGTCTGGTGCGCCATTATTGACCAAACGTGGGACAGTGTGGTTAGTGATGCTTGATGCTAGCTCTGTTGGCCAGCCAAACATCACTCCTAAGTGCTCTTCCCAGACTTCCAGGTGTTTCTTTACGGTGGTAATTGGCGTACCATCTGACCTACAGTCTGTCTTGCTGGAATTGTGCCTCTTGGTAAGATTAGCTCCAATGAGGTGGGACAGATTCTGACTGTCGCCAGCTGCTGATTCCATATCAGTCGCGTGTTCTGACCAACAGGCTTCGCGATCCTTACATAAACACCGTTTCATCTTGTACATAAGCCCCTCATGCATACCGTTATACTCGCAGCCTGTATGAATAGACCAGCGCTCATTCAGAAGTTGCCGCGAACTAGCAGAAGTCCAGTGATTTTTGGCGGA